GTTGACCTTTTGTTTACCGCTCTTTGGAAGATCAAAATCCCGAAAAAGATGAAGTTCTTTGGGTGACAGGTTTTACTTGCTTGGGAAAGTCAATACTCAATACCTTGGATCGTATTTAGAGACAATCTTCTTTATGTCTGGGGCCTACAGTGGTGTGGGCTTTATAGAGGAGCCTCAAAGGATCTTGATCACTTGTTGTGGTCTTGTTAGTTTGCGCATAATTTATGGCTTTGGTTCTTTGGGTAGTTTGGGGCGTCTTAGGCCTGTAGTAGGGTTTGTAGGGCGATGTTGAAGGAGGTGTTGTTGGTCCCTCCGTTTCGAGATAGGGGTCTTTTTTGTGGCAGGCTCACTTTTTGGCTACTTTGTGAGGTGTTTGGCTGGAGAGGAACAATAGAATTTTTAGGGGTGGAGAGATCTGTGGGTTTGTTTTGGATCTTATTAGGTTTAATACTTCCTTGTGGGGTTTCCTTTTGTAATTCGAGAATAAATTAGAAAGTAAATAGCATTGAGGAGCCTTGAACTTCGCTATTTTGAAGCCATACTTTTAACTGGAGTTTGAACAAATCAGCTTTGGCTTCTACAAGATTCCATCCTGTATTGATGCTATTTATGGTTGTTTTATCCAAATGAACCTGCTGAAGAAAAGTCAAATAATTCTAGAATTTTAAAGACGTTGCTCAACCTTTTTTCCTTATCCTCACTAAAGACGTGGATGTCTTAAATGTAAGATAATTTTTTTACTCTTTTAGTGCCCTGTGAAGCCTTGCAGAATATTACATTTATTTGCCATACCCAAATGTTTGCTTAGGAGTGAGGACATCAGCCACTCGGAGAAAAAGAAAAGTGGATGCCCTTTTGTTTTGTTTTGTTTCTTTCTTCTTAAGGAAGCTTGGTTTTCATTAAAAAAATATGTACATATATAAGAAAAAGAAAAAACAAAGGGATCCTCTTGGCCTGAATCCCCTTGGAGCTTTAGTTTTTCTTCTTGGTCTTACATTGATAAAAAATGAGAAGGATGTATAAGTGATACACCCTCTTGTCCATCTTCTCAATTTGAGGAGGAACCTTTTTTTTATTATTATTATTAGAAAAAGATGTATTAACACAAGAACAGAAGTACAGACTAAAATCAGGGGAAGATGAGACCCCCCGAAAACTAGAACATTAAGGCCTTCCAATCTTGAAGCATCAAGGATAAGCTGTAGTTACAAAAGAATTTTTTGTTTTAAGCACCAAAAAGCAGTAGGCTGTATACCAATTCTAAAAGAATAAAAATTAGAAAAAATTCCTTCATAAACTCTATTGTTTCTTTCCTTCCAAATGTTCCAAAGGAAGGCTCTTGAAGCACACTTCCAAAACACCTTTGCTCTGCCTTTTAGTGACCAACCATTTAGCACCTCAAGAATCCAAGTCTCAATAGAGTTAGGCAAGCAGCGGGGAATATCAAAATAGCATAGTAGAAACCCAGCCTCTAGCTGCAAAATCACAGTGAATGAAGATGTGGTCTAGGCTTTCTTCAATTGTTTGATTAAGACTATAGATCGAAGGTCCAGCTACAAAACTTCTGCTGCAATTTTTCACGAGTGTTAAAGACCCCTGTGAGCAAGACTCCACCAAAAGACTTTTGCCTTATCCTCCTTACACACCTTGATTTTGTACCATTCATCAGCTGCACATTAGTCATTATATTATTGATTGTTTACGTTTTTAGTGACTAAACACCCAAGTTTTAGCTCTTGCAAAGGCCTACCATTTAGTGGGGCCTGTAGACTTTTTAGAGGAATTATACAATGAATACTTGAGTATTTTTGCTTTGGGTAAGAAGGGACAGATGTAGCAAAAATATATGTTTTTTTGTCGGAACTTTTATCATTTATCATTGTCAGACCAACCACCCTCACTAGTCATTGAAAGTGAAATTCTAGAGAGATTCCTTTGGTTCAGTAAGTGTTACAAAGTCTATCTTTTGGACCATTGAGGAACTTGTACAAAATAATTATAAATGGATTAAAAATGGAATTGCCTAAGAGGCAAAGTTGCTCAAAGTACGGGACATATAATAATGGCAAGTACTTCAAGTTGGAAGTAGTTGTATGTCTTCTCTCCTCAGTTCGATCTCCATAAAGAATAAACTTTGCTGCTTCATGCATGCAGTGATGTGTTTTTCTTTTCTTTTGAATGCCTACTTTCTTGGTCATAGACTAGAATAATGAACTTTCATCAAAGGATTTGATTTGCGTATGAATATCTTTAGCAAACTCTTATAAAAATAAAAATAAAAAATCTTTAGCTAACCTCTTTCTCCTGCAATGAGTGATAGATCCTTTTTGTGTGCCATGTGTGTTTTACTGATCCTTACGTGTATACTATTATGCAGTTTGAGAGAGTCCTTACTGTCACTGACGGAGCATGATGACAAACAGGTATCAGTTACAAATTATGTTTGACGTATATCAATCAGAGTGATGAGATGCATGTATTTTCCTTTTTCTTAAAGAACAATACTACAGCAAACAAAATAGCTAAGGAAAAATATTTATCTGCTGCAGTAAATGTATTGAAGAGTGAAATCTTGAGGATGAGAAGAAATTTATCTTCTAATGAAAGATCTATGCAAAACTATACATCTACCTAAATGAAAGGCCTAGAAAAGTTCACTGATTCATTCTCCAGTGGGCTGTTGCTACTTGCTATGTATCAAGAAAAGAGGAATTACCTTAAAACTTCTCGTGTGCCCAAAGATAAGCTGGTAAAATGATATCTATTAGTGTATACAGCATCTCAACATTTTCTAAAGAACACTAGTAAATTCTCTTTAACGAAATACCCAAAAACATTCAAATATAAATCACGATCCTTTTCGATGTATTATATATGCCCAAAAGCTTTGAAGTTTAGTTTTAATGAGTTAAGCATGGACCTCCAGGTACATCAAATTGCCCGAAGTTTTCGAGACAGATGGTTTCCCAGACCTGTTAGAAAATTTGGTTACACCGAGAGGGAGGATGGGAGATTGGAAGTTTACAGGGGTTCAAACTGCAGTAGGTTTACAGTATCACACAGTTACCGGCATGATCTGGATTCCAGACCCACAGAAGCGATTGACTGTGTTAAGCAGTCAATGCCTACATCTCTGCCAGATACTCATCCTGCAGACATCTGTTCTGTGGCTTCTACAGGTGGCCAGTCGTCAAGTGGGCAAAAAAATCGCAAGCGTAAGAGTCGATGGGATCAACCTGCAGACACAAACCTAGATCTGAGATCCAAGGAGCAGAAGCTTGAATCATCATTGGTGCAGCACTTTGATTCCAGCCAATTAAATAGTGTTGGAGTGGCACCAATGTTGATAGACAAGGTAAATGGTGATGATAAGGACTCCTCCCTCTCTGACTTAGTTTGTTGTCGCCAAGAAGAAGATATTAAGGCAGACAGTACAGTGCAAGATGTACCTGAAGATATTCCTCCTGGATTTTCATCTCCTTTCAATCCCCCCCTGGCTTCCTCAAGTGCTTTCTCAACAGTTTTAGATCCTTCTCAACAGAGTACTGGAAATTTGAGTTGTGCTTTTTCCACAGTTGGGCATCCACAGGAGAGATTCATTTCTCGCTTGCCTGTGTCTTACGGAATTCCGTTTTCTATCGTTCAGCAATATGGAACATCCCATGCAGAGAATCTGGAGTGTTGGGATGTTGCTCCTGGAATGCCTTTTCACCCTTTTCCACCCTTGCCACCATATCCTCGAGGTGAGAAAGGCCCACCAATGTCTGCCTGTGGTACTGCAATTAGACAATCAGCTCAACAAGGGCAGGTTAACAGCCATGATTCTCGAACTTCTTTCTCAGAAGAAAGCACTCCTAGCACAAGTACTAATGTCCAACAGGATTTGTGCATTCCATTAAACAACCAACAGATATTGAAACGGGTGAAGGAATCATCATATGATTTGGGAAGAAGGTACTTTAGGCAGCAAAAGTGGCGTAATACAAAGTTTGGTCCCCCTTGGTTACAGAGAAGGAGTCAATGGGGATACCAGGGAAACTTCAGGAGTGGTTCAAGCGCTATAAGTGATGACAATGTACTAAACGAGGGGATAAATCCATATTGCTCAGATGAAGCAAGCGTTAGAGCCGATAAAGCTAACGATGATTTTTATCAGCATTCACTAAACCAGAATCAGCGCTGAGTTGTAGGAAACTGGTGATCTACTGAAATTTCAATAGAACCCAATGTATTCTCAGTTCCTTTTTCTTTCCTAGGTTTGATACTCAATGGAAAGTTTCTTCAACTTCAGTATGGTAGTTCTCTTACTTCAGCACTGGTAGTACTATGCGTGAGGTTGATCTTGCTTCCATCAGCATATGAGGTTTTGGATCTTTATCCATCAATCAGCACCTCAAAGAGGTAGGCATTCTTATTTGTATATCATTTTCTCACAAAAATTAAATTGTGACATGCAATGTTTAAAGATCTCGGGGAAATAAAAGTTTCATTGATTCTTGATGTCTTGCCTATGATTATTAGAGATTATAAACATTGCTTTTATTTTCCCTTTTCCCTTCAAGCTGTCTCACTTATCCTGCAAAGTCCATGGACCCTTGTTAGATGAAACTAAGTAATTATGCATTTGTCTGAAGAAAGCTGCTTTTGTTTTTATCCTTAATTTTGTACATAGAAAATGATTCGTTAAAAGTTTGTCTATAGTTTCTTATATTTCTGTATTTATGAAGTTATTCTTGTCTGGGTGTGATTGGAACAAATTGTTAAATGGAGTTCGCTCATCATTACTGATGACGGCAATTTTGCATTACTGATGAAAAATGGGTCTGCAGCATGAATTCGTCACAGGTACTCTTGTTCTATAAGATTTGTCAGTCTTTAGTCAGATCTGATGGCGTCCTTTCTTTATCCATTCTGTTCATTCTGCTTTCCTTTTGTTGTTGCTCTTTTCCTACGGATGATTGATTAGTCCTGAAGTAGTATTTTGTTCTTGTTTTTATATACAGAAGGATTTTTTTGTGGATTGATTTTTTATTTGTTCTCTCCAGGTCCTTGACCTCTTGCATATTAGGTATCTATGTACTTGCGATCATAGAGAAGCGTTCTAAATTTGATGTGTAAACCTGGGAAAACATTTGTGCATAATAACTATCATATCATGTGGTCACACGCTGTTTCAAATATCTCAATTTTTACTGAACTCTATTCATTCGATGCATCATCTTGTGACCATTAAAACTTTCTATCATAGAACAATATTTCCAACTTCATTGTGCTAATTTTTACATTGTCAAATTTCAATTTCACTGTGAAGTGATATATGTGCATAACTATTCCTTTGTTCTCAATTGCTTTCATGATTACCATATTTCTCATTCAGCTTGGGCCATCAGGAAGAGTAACAAGAAAAGAGATGTGTTTAAATTCTTAATGGCTGTCGAATCAGCAGTGGTTTTAATGGAGGGGGTCAAACGGTTCTATGAAGAGTACATATCTTCTAGTAGAGGTCAGTTCCAGGAGAGAAGCTCAATAGGGTGGGCCTGGCTTCCCCAGGGATGTAATATTTAAAAAAGGAAAAAATGCCAATGTTGACTCTGAAGCAAATCTAAAACACTTTGTTCTTGGTACAGGTATAGTTGTTGGGCTTGTATCGGTGGCAAGGGGTAGATTAGTGGACCTTATTCAGTTTCCATCCTGGAAGTTTGGGAAAACTCAGGAGGATTGCTGTTGAAAACAATATTTATAATTGTTTGAATTGAATGATGTCCAGAGTGGAAATAGAACTGAAATGAAATGAAGAACCATGGGCTTTTACTTGAATTGGCAGTTGAATAGTTTTTAGAAGAAAAAACCTTCAGATTCGAGCAATGCATTTGGTTTTGTTTTTGGTTGCAGCCTACCCAGCAAAAGTTTCAGGCTCTGGAGGTTATCTGTAACATCCAACTAGATTGCTTAAGTTGGATAATTGCCATGTTGGTTAAATTGTTGCTGCATAAACTCATGTCTAAAGACTTGAATCCTAAGTTATGGGATCAAGAAATCTTTAATAACTATTTGACCTCCAGTACTTGTCAAACCACTTTGTGATGTACAAGTTTGCTCCAACTTTATGATTGATTAGTAGTTAAGAGATATTCAAAAGTTCAATAATCTTTCTTTCATACATCATCCATCAATTCAAGATTTTCTCTGGCAATCCTTCCCTTAAACAATGTAACCATAAGCTATGGTATTTCACTGTCCCCATGTGAGAAAATTAGGATTCTTTTTTCAGTTGAAGAAAAATGGTAGAATTGAGAAATAAGGGTGAGAAGTTGTTTGTGTTGAATGTTCATGTTTAATGGTCGCTGTTGAAGGTTATTAGGAGGTTAATGAAGGAGGAAGCAAACATCATTTGAGTTAACTGCTGCCAGGTATCGTAAATCAGAGCTCTCTCCCTTCCTTAATTTTTGGTTTTGTGTGTGGCTCAAGTGTCTTTTTGGTTTAACAACTTCTTGGTTGCCATGGTTCAATGGGTTTTGATGTTGCATCTTTCATAGATTTACTTTATGATTCAATTCTAAAGGTTGATATGAAATCTATAATTTTAGCATCTTTTGGATTTACTTTATGCCTTGACATTGTTTTTTTTTTTTCACTTTTTGAAAATATATGTTTTTAACAATTTTTATCCCGGGGACGTGTATTAAAAGTATAAGCTTATATTTTCTTTTGGAAAAAATATGAAACAAGAAATAAAATGATTGTAAAATGATTCTTTAATTAATCTATTGTTGTATTTACAAATACCTCATGCTTACCTTCTAGAACACCTCATATTTTATATAATAAATTGAATGTCCACTGATTAAAAAAAAAAAGATGAACTCATTAAGAACAGTTGTTGAAAAACAAAATTACATATTTGTCCCCATAAATATCTATCCAACCCCCATTTGACATAATCTCCAGAAAAATAAATAAATAAATAAATAAAAATCTAATTGACATCCAATTTGGGAATTGTATCTAACCATAAATCTCAGTCCCAGAATGTGGTGAATGGTCTTAATAACTAATAATTATTTGGCCAATAATTGTGTGGGACAGAGTTAGGAGAAGGGATCTTTAGATCTCAGCCGTTGATTTTGAAGTGATTATGAGCACTGAAATCGAGGGCCACGTACGGGATCTTCAGATCTTTCGGAATATTACATCGTTCCCACACGCCGTACACTCCAGCTTGGGTTATTAATTTTGTTATTATTATGTGTAATAATAACTTCCCAAATAAAAAGGTGTAATAATATTAATAATACCAACCGACACAAGACGTTTATTGGAGTTTATGTGAAATGTTTTCGCTCTCTCTCTCTCTTAGTTTTTCCCAGTTTAAACTCTAAATATTATTTTATATTTATTTATTTTGGTTTTGGTACTTTTTTTATCTGTTTTTGTTTATTTTATACCCTTTGCTTTTAAAATATTTTTATTATTATTTTACTTTTAAAAATAATCATTTTAGTCTATAGTTTGTAAAATTTTAATATAAATTTTATATAAAATTAAAATACCTTAATATAATTTATGCCGAAATTTAGTGAATGAATTATTTTGTTAAAATTTTGATTAAAATAAATGAAATAAAAATGAAAATGAAGTGACTAAAATAATTTTTTTTTAAGTATAAGAACTAAAATAAATGTTTCAAAAGTTTAAAAGTCTAAAAACTAAAATGAACAAAAGTTAAAATAGGATTTAAATAGATATTCTTAAAATGCATGGAAGGAATCCAATCTGAAATTTTAAATATTTATAATTTCATTATGGGTTGAAATTCAAGTCCATCCACTCCAAATATGAAGGAGCAACAACCTAAGGGCGAGGCCGAAGAGGCCCTCCCCTACAAAGCTAATACATTACAACTTTCGAATCAGGAGAGAGTAAGACTATATTGTAATTACAAAAGAATCTCCTATTAGTAAGATACCAAGAGGCCGTTGTAATTTGTAATTTTCACAAAAAAATATCAAAAGGGAGACATTTACTGTTGAAAACTTTTTGGTTCCTTTCCTTACAAATACTCCATATTAGTGCTCGACGAGCACAACTCTACAGAAATTTTGCTCTTCTTCTCAAAGAGCCACCTTGTATGATTTCTAGAAGCCAATCATCTCTCAATTGAGGCAAACAACCATTTAAACCACATTCCATCATAAAAAAAAAGACCAACCTCTTGCTGCAAAGGTGCAGCGAGGATATGGGCAATTGACTCCCCATCCTAAGACAAAGTGAGCAACCCGAAGAGGATATCATCCAATTCTATAATTTTTTCTGAAGCTTATCCTAAGTGTTGATACTTCTATATGTCACGCACCATAAGAAGATTTTCATCTTTTTTCGACAAATAAACTTCCAAATCCTAATTAGAAAGAGAGCTTTGAATTTTGGATATTTTACATAAGAACAAGTAATTCTGAGTCAAATAAATCATTATAGACTAAATCATACAAAATTTGTAAGTCTTTTTTTTTCTTTTAATGTATGTTTCTTCAAATTAAAATGTAAAAATTTATAGCTCATTTTAATAAAGTGTATGATGACATTACCTCATTTTTAACACTTTGTGAGATTGTAATAGATTAGCGACTAAATTAAAAATAGACCCAAACATTTATGTGCTAAATAGCAAATTATATATTTAACATAAATTCAAATTTGCTCTTAAACTTTCATATCTCTATTACTTTTGTTCTTAGATTTTTTTTTACTATTTCATTTTAATTCTTAATCTTTAAAATATTTTATTTCAAGATTCAGCAAATTTAAATTATGTTTTTATCTCTGAAATGTTATGATTGTTTTATATCACTAAAACATTGAAGAGTCTTTTTTATTTTTCGTACTAAAAGATTCAAAAGTTAAAATGGATAAAAATATAATTTAGAGATCAACTTTAATGACAATTGGATTATATATATATATATATATATATATATATATATATATATATATAATAGAGTTAGTATAATTAGGACCACTGAAAAAATAGAAATAAATGCAGCAGGTGACCTCTCCCATAATTTAAAAAATAATTTAAAAAAAAAATGGTTGGGTAGGATATTTGGTAGTTTATGCACGTGAAATCCACGTACTTTGATCCACCGACACCCACTTCATGGCCTCACCTCCACTTCTCCTAATTATGTTTCATGTTCTTTCATAATTTTTATATTTTTGGTGAAATCCACCATCACAATTTTTCTTTTCTTATTAGCTTACTTAATTTTGATACCTCTATTTTTTAAATTTACATTTTTATTTTTTGTAGTCTAAATTTTTATTTATTTTAGTACTTTCAAAATATTTATTTTGATTGGCTTTACCAACTATTTTGGTATCTTCATTTTACTCTTTATCTCATGGTTTCTAATCACAATTTAACATGATATTATGCTTAATCATTTTTTTCAAAATGTAGTCATAAATTTATATTAAAAAGTTTTCGTTACTTATAAAATTTGTGTTAAAATTAAAGTACAATGACTAAAGTAAAAAAATAATTCATTAAATTAAAGTACAATGACTCAATAATCACGTTTTAAAAATAAATGGATGTTTTTAAAATATGTGAACTAAAGAGAAAAATTTAAGTACAATGACTGAAATAAGAAATAAAAATAAAAGTACTTGGACTAGAATAATGTTAAAATTTTTTGTGTATTTTCCGAAGGAGGAACTTTCTCTAAGCACTAAAGAGCACTATAAATAAATAAATAAATATATAGGCTTTTTCTAAGGATAATGGATAAACTGTTACGATATTTCTTTTTTCAGAAAAAAATAATAATAATAAAACAAAACGAAAAAACTGTTACGATATTTTAGTGTTGCTTAGGAAGTGATGCACGTGGCCGGCAGCTTGTGGTACACGTGATAAAGCCAACGGCCCCACAGTCCAAAGTCCCGCGCGGAACACGCCACGTGCACGAAAAGGAACGGGGAATACGTGATGATCGTTTCGGGCTCGCCAGCGTGTCACCGTTGCGGAGTTTGGTTCGCCGACGTCACGGATTTAATTAATTAATTAATTGGGCCTTGCGCCAACTCCGTAGGCTACAAGTCAACCTCCCTGCAGTATGGGGCCAGCAAAAATTTAATTCAATATTTTTAAAACGTTTAATTTCTATTTTGGTTAATAGTTTCTTTCTTTAATTATTTTATTTTAGTTCAGAAACTTCTAAAATCTCTTTATACACACGTGTACGTATTGAGTGCATGCATGGACTAGCTCATAAGTATTTTCGAGGCCTAATTTTAAAGCTAAGAAATTTAAAAGATTTTAATATCTCAACGGTTCGTTTGAAAATGATTTTAAAATGAGTGATTTTAATCCAAAGATATTTAGAGTGTATTTAGGGGGAAGTAGAATGAATGATTTTGAAAAAATATATTTAAGTAATTGATTTTCAAAAATCACCTACCTTAAAAATCAAAGTTAAAGTGAGTTTTAAACTTTCCTAAAATAAATTTTTTAATCTTACCCACATGATCTAATGTAATTTTGAATGATTAATATTTGAAGTTGAGAGGATTTGACAAAAGTTAAAGAGTGAACAAAAAATTTAGAGACATAAATTTTAGAGAGTGAGAGACAAGAATTTAGACAGAGAAATGAACTTAGAAACAAGACGAAACTAATTAAATATTTAGAGAGATTATAAAAATTTGAGAGAAAAAAAAATCAATAGGATAAACAAAATTAGAGATAAATAAAGTTAGAGAGTGACACAAGTTTGAGAAACGAAAAAGAAATATTTCTAAAAGTTTATGATAAAAATAAAGTGAAATAGAACTACAAATTTAAAATCATAACCATTTTAAAAACTAATTTTCTATTATTATTTTTTCTAAAAAAATGAATTGAGAGGTTCAAGTGATTGACCAGAAATCACTTAAATACTCTAGAATTATTGTCAAACATGACGTAGTGGAAGTAATTATAGCTATATATTAAAATCACTCTAGATTATCACTGCAAAAGATTGCATCATGTTCTCAAAATATTTTACTTTCCGAATTTATAATTCAGTCCATAAAATTTGGAGTTTATTCCCTCTTAACATCTAAATTTTCAAAATACTTGTAGGTTATGGCTATTAATTAATTTGCCTTTAATCATTTAGCAATGACACAATTAATTTACTTCCATGACATGTTTATTTATTAATAAAATAATCGGTACACGTACAAATAGCTTATATAACTAAGATCAATCACGTCATTTTAATGACCAGATGTTTGTTTAGCGAGTGGTTGGTGATGGAGATTTAATTATTCTCTGTACCTACTTTATTTTATTATTATTTTTTAATATAATTCACAGGTAAAAATTCAAACCTCTTTAAAAACAAATGTCTTATATTTAACTAGCTAGGTTCAGTTTAGACCTAGTATCTACTTTTAAGGCATATTTAAAAGTAATGGTAAAATTAATGATTTTGAAAAAATAAATTCAAATATAATTAATTTTCAAAATTTACAATAGTCCTGTTAAATTTAAGAGGATTTTATAGGAGAGAAAATAGAGAGAATAATTTGATTGGATTGAATTGAATTTTCCAATATGGATACAAAACTACCCACCTATTTATAATAAGAAAATTCATAATCAAATAATATAAGTCCTAAACATAAGTCTAATTCAAATAATATCTACCAAATAAAATCTAAATCATAATTGCAACTTAATACTAATATACTTTTAATCCTATCAAATCAAATTAATACCTTAAAAATGATTTTGAGAATCATAAAAGGGATTTTGGGATTAAGATTTAAAAGATCTTCGGATGACTTTCATTAAATTAAAAAAATCAGAAACTATTTTGAACTTAATTAAATTAATTAAGATATATATTAAGTTATAGGTTCGAATCCTCACGTATTATTAAAATAAAAGTGTATAATATATATAAACAAGTTCTAAATTAATTAAAGAAAAAATTGATATGGTTGGTCTCAAACCAAACTAGTTTGATGACATTAAATAATACCTAATTGAGATTATGGTACAATATTACTTCCAAACGGAACCTTCATTTCAATTTAAGACTACCAATTATTTTTTATAATTGTGGGTCAAATTAGTATTAAATCAAAACTAGCACGGAATCAAATTATATATTGTACAGTTTTAAACAATATTAGCCAGACTAATCACTGACGATTAAAAAAAAAAAACTATTAAGAAAATAATTTATGTACAAGTTACTTTAGTAGATTTTGAAATTAACACGAGATATCGCAAGTTTGATACTAATTTAGTGAAAATAGTATTGATGTTTTATTGGTTAAATAATAAGTTTTGTAATCCAACTTTAATTTTAAAAATTATGTCCAATAAATTTGTCAACTTTAAAAATAGCGATGTGTTAATAAAGTTCCTAGAATTTTAAAAGTGTTTGATAAACACTCAATTTTCAATTTTATATCTAATAAAACACTAATTTACTGAATACTTTTTAAAGTTTAAAAATTTAATGAAATGCGAAATTGAAAATCAAACATTTATTTGTTTATTTGATATTGGTTAAAGTTTAATAACATATTAGATATGATATTTAAATTTTAATAATTTATTAAACACAATTTTCGAACTTCAAGATCACAATTTAATCAATCTTATTTAATTGTGAGAGAAAATTTTAGCTGAATTAGAGTATATTTAATTTTTATACATATATTTTAAGGTTGCTTTTAAAAAGGTAGACGAAAAGTTATTGTAATTCCTGTTTAATGTTTTAATTGTATTAAAATATTTTCACCTCTACTCATTGAAGAGAAAAATAATAGTTGGTTTGATTACTTGGGCTAATATCTTCATCTTTTCAAAGCAAAAATATGACGGCGGTCGGTGGCATGCAATAAAAGCGATGGCCCACTGTGGCTTCCTATATTTTCAATTTGAAAATAAAAACATCTTATTAATTAAGAGACTATATACAAAATATAAATTCTAAGGTAATAAATAACTAAATAATATATATATATATGTAAAAGCGAACCTAACTAAATAATATATATACATGTGAAAGCGAACCTTGCTCAATCGTAATTTACATATATCTCCAATCAGTAAATTGTGAGTTTGATATCTTTAGAACTCAAGTCTTTTTAACTCTATTATTGACTATACGATTCACAAAAAGTTTAAAAGAAAAAAAAACCTCTAAAACTCTATACGTATAAGTTAGCTATATTATTTGTTTTAGTTACAAGTTGCAACTTGTTAATACAGGCAATGTTTTAAATATTGACGTTGATGGAAATGTTAAGGTTATCGACCGATATTTCTGTAAAAGTTAAAAGAAATTAAAAATTTGTAAAAAAATATTTAAACTAATGAATAAATATTTTCCTATTTTTAAATAAGTTAAAAATAATTCATATTAATATTAGGTATATATTATCGACATTTTATTGATACTTTTCATATTTTGTCGTTGTACTATGATGTAAATGTTGATTTATCTCTTATATTGATATCGAACTAAAGAAAACATGAACATGTCAATGAAAATGTCGACGTGTAGATGAATATTTAGAATCATAAATATAACTAAGGTGAAAATGAAACATTATAAGTTACATCATTTGAACTTAATTTTTATTTAGTTAATGCGAACTTTAACATCTGTCTTGACTAAAAAGTCATTGAATTGGACCTTCACTTGCGCGAAAAAGAGGAGGGAGACTTAATTTTCACTAAAATGGGAGCGGATGCACTTTAATATTCCTCACTTGCATTCGACTTATTTTTTTCCTTACTTTCCTAATTTTTTTAAGTCACTTTCTCGGCTGGTTTGCGAACTTGAAAAGCGAACGAACGAACGCACGCTTTACCCAAACATGTCCCTCTCCCTCTTTCTTTCCCGATGCTGTTGATATAAAAATACCCGAAATGGTTCTTCCCCACCGGCCAAAACTCGACGGAACTTGACCGACAAGTTCACTGAACCGCGCCTGAATTCCGACCCAGAAGATGAAATTGCTCCAGAATGGGGTAGCCAGCGAGCCAGAGCAACCCGATTCCGGCCGTACTGTGTTGGTCGGCATGAAATTGGACTCCCACAGTCGAGAGTTACTTACTTGGGCTCTTGTCAAGGTCGCTCAGCCTGGCGACCTCGTGATCGCTCTTCATGTTCTTGGCAATGGCGGTAAGTTGAAGTTCTGTGTTCAGGCTTTACTATTTTTTATGTGGGTAGGTGGGATTTTCGAGTTTTGTTTTACATTTTGTGAGATTGACCAATTTGGTGAAATGGGTTCCTGCAGAAGTTGTGAATCAAGATGGGAAGTCCTCGCTTCTTTCTATTGTTAAAGCGTTCGACTCTGTGCTCGCTGTATATGAAGGTTTCTGCAACTTGAAACAGGTCATCTTCTTGCTCTTTTCTATGTTTCTAGCTACGCGCCTGTTTGACTGCCGGGCAAATGGATGAAGATTGAAATCTCTTTGAACTTGTTTTCTAATTTAAGGGTTCTGATTCTAACAATTCATGATGCGATAATTCTAGTCTCGTGAAGTTCCATGACCCTTTTTTCCCCTGTTCTGTTTATTGATTATCGACGATTTTATAAAGTACTTAACGATTTTGTCGCAAATGATGCAGGTGGATCTGAAGCTCAAAATCTGCAGAGGTGCATCGGCTAGGAAAATTTTAGTTAGGGAAGCAAAATCGTATTCCGCAACTAACGTAATCGTTGGGACAGCTCGTAAGCACCACAAAATCCGTTCATCGACTTCCGTTGCCAAGTACTGCGCCAAAAAATTACCCAAAGATTGTTGGGTACTCGCTGTTCATAATGGGAAAGTAATTTTTGAACGAGAGGGCTGTCCATTGACCACAGGAGACTGCCAAGGTTTTTGTTAATTTCATAAAAATTTAGGTGTTCTCCATTTTTAGTCTTTTTCATGGTTTAGCTGAGTTTTGCTTTATTCTCTTTTCAGGGAATGAGGAACGCCGTGGAAGCAGTTTGTTCGGTGCAGTTTATGGATCATCGGGTAGCCCTCTGAAAGTGCAAAGCAGTGAGAGTTTTGCTTCTTTGTTGGCGAGGGACAAATTTAATCTGGTAATCGGTCAGGATTCTGATCAGAGCTTAGCGAAAGCCACAATGGATAGTTCAAAGATCGTTGACAAACAGAACTGCTCAATTTGTGGACCAGAGTCGAATTCTGTGGAACAATCTGCAGAGATATCTTCTGAGAATGGAGATGAACATGATGAATCTTTGGCTATAGTGCCAGTACAAAAGGTCAAGGTAGCTTCGACCTCTATTTCTACGTTGATCAGGCAATTACCTGAAGTAAAACCCGGTTGGCCTCTGCTTCGACATGTTGATCAATCGGGTCGGAAAACTTCTTCCAACCGATCGTCGGGGAAGCAAATCTCTGTAGTTCAGTGGGCAATGAGGTTGCCTAGTCGGTCTCCTTCTTACCCTGCTGCTTTGGAGTACAAACCTAATACCTCTGGCCAGTGTCTTGATGGGGAAAATGGTGCTATGGTTCTGGTGGGTGCTGAGGGAGTGACTTCTCTGCTCTCCCCTGACTCCGATTCCGAAACCTTACCGAAGGAATTGGAGGGCTTTCATGAGAAATACTCGTCGACTTGCAGATTGTTTAATTATCAAGAACTTCTAATAGCGACATCCAATTTCTTACCCGGTATGTTCTGTTTCCCTTCCGTGGCTTATGCTTCAGGTTTGTAAAATCTAGACTTATTTTCTAACGGTCAGATTATGTTTCAATTTGCTGCCTCTTTTTCCAGAAAATTTGATTGGGAAAGGAGGAAGCAGCCAGGTTTTTAGAGGTTGCCTTCCTGATGGAAAGGAGGTTGCTGTGAAGATCTTGAAGCTATCAGAAGAAGTTCTGAAAGAGTTCATTATGGAAATCGAGATCATTACCTCCTTAAGCCACAAGAATATTATTTCCCTTTTGGGATTTTGCTTTGAAAATAGAAAGTTCCTGTTGGTTTATGATTTCCTATCAAGAGGAAGTCTTGAAGAAATCCTTCATGGTACTAGTAAGTCCTAACTGTGCCTTTTTGTTTCAACAAATAGCAAACTTCGCTTGCTATAGGTTACTTTCCTTGAACTTTATGTTAATTGATCATCATAAACCAGGGATTAGTAAGAACCCAAATGCGTTTATTTGGAGTGAAAGATTTAAAGTAGCTGTCGGTGTGGCTGAGGCGTTGGATTATCTCCATAGTGATTCTCAGCGTGTGATTCATAGGGATGTTAAATCGTCAAATGTTTTGCTATCTGACGATTTCGAACCACAGGTGATGCACAGAGATATATCTATTTTCTACTGGACATAGTTCAATATGTAAAGTTTTCAGATCCTCATATACTTTTTTCCCTTTCTTCAGTTATCGGATTTCGGGCTGGCTAAACGGGCATCAACCTCGTCACACGTAACCTGTACAGATGTTGCTGGAACCTTTGGGTTTGTACCATTAATCCTTCTGTAATGTTTTGGTTTGCGATAAAATTTTTCGATAAAAATGTTAATGCTCTTTGCTGCAGTTACCTGGCTCCTGAGTATTTCATGTACGGCAAGGTAAATGACAAGATTGATGTCTATGCTTATGGTGTGGTACTCCTGGAACTTCTTTCGGGAAGAAAACCGATCAGTACTGACTATCCGAAAGGACAAGAAAGCCTAGTCATGTGGGTATGTCCTCCGAACTCGAAGGATTCAATTGTTTCTGAGTTATTAATAATATACAACGTTCAATATTCTAAACTGAAATCATATCATCCAGGCAAGGCCCATTTTAATTGATGCGAAGGTGTCTCGGTTACTTGATCCTAGCTTGGGATGTGACTACGACCAGGACGAGATGGAGCGTGTGGTTCTTGCGGCCAGTCTTTGCATTAGACGTGCCCCACGAGCTAGGCCTCCAATTAGCCTTGTAAGTCATCTCTCATTTGTTCATAGTATCGTAGTCAGTCGATGAACGTAAAAATTGGTTCTGTAGTTCAAAGCCAAGTTAACCTTTTGAAGAAACAAGAAACAGGCCATCGGTTTGTTCTCGTTTCTCAAGACTCGATAAACTTACGACTGGCTGTTCAATTTCAGGTTCTAAAACTTCTCCAAGGTGATATAGACGTAACCAAGTGGGCAAGGCAACAGATCAACGCTCTAGGGGACTGCAACACTCTGGACGAAGAAGTATGTCCCCGATCCGACATCCAATCACATCTCAATCTTGCGCTGCTCGATGTCGACGACGATTCGCTCTCCCTAAGCAGCATCGAACAGAGCATCTCGTTGGAGGACTACTTGCAAGGCAGGTGGAGCCGTTCATCGAGCTTCGACTAACAACATCACCTCTGCGCAACTCCGCTAGCTTGACGAGTGGCTTTGATTGGCGTGGATTTTTCGTATGTTCTCCGGTTTTACTCACACAACCCCTCTTTGTATCATCTCTGACTTGCCTATGAATGGGTGATGGATGAGAGGATGTTTGTGGTGTACCCTCCTCCTTCCATTTTAGGCTTTCTTTTTTTCTTTTTGCTCCTTTCTTTCTCCTTGCAAAAGGGTTGATCAGGGTGGAAGATGGAGTTTTGTTATAATGCTCTGATTCTGATTGATTATTATACAGATTGTGGTCATAACTTCATGGCTCTGCATATATAAGCAAATAAGAGCAGAGCAGTTTTGTTTCTTATGCTTCTTTGTACAAAATTCCACATTATCTTCACCCTTCGTAAGATGCAAATAAATTCTCATTCTAAACTTCTGAATTTTTCATTTTCATATAATTTAAGGCGCCCCAATAAAATAACATAGGAGTTTGTTTTCTTTCGAGTGTATTTATTGGGACAGAGTAAATTCTATCTTGTCTAAAAGCTATAAATTAAAAGTAGAGATTATACCTGATATTTTAGATAAGATTTAGGTTTATTGTTTTTTTACTATGAGAAATGAACTATTTTATATACGTCAAAAATTTATTGAGTGTGATATTATGTAAATGAAGGGATCAAAAGAGTTACTTTTAAAAGTTAAAATTGAGTTTTTAAAAATACAAAGGTCTAAAAAGTATTTAAATTTATTTAATTCATGAAGTTTTAAATTGTATCGGACTGATGAAATTTTCAATTTTATTTCATAGATTCATGAATTTTAAAATATTTAATAGATCTCTACCACTTTAGAAATATGAATAGCAGTTATTTTAATGGCATAAAAAGGGTAATAGTAGTAAGTTTATACAGGTGAGGGCCACGAGGGGACTGAGATCCGTGCGGCATGTTGATGGGTGGCCATTTTAATTTGTCAGTGGCCGATGCGATTCCATCAGTCTCTTTCCTTCGCCTCACCGACGCAAATAAATTCATGCCTTTTATTTTTTATTTTTCCTTCAAACTTGTAATAATAATAAGCGTCTATTAAAGCGCCTCTATTTAAATCAAAACATTATCTTGAGTTGACCAGCCAATTTGTGGATGATTCTAAATAAAAATAAAATATTTTTGATTGATGGATATGATTTGATTTAAATTGTGGTTTTTGTGATATTTATATTTTGGGAGAAAAGTGAGTGGGGTATTATTATTATTATTTGTGGGGTGGGGTTATTCTTTTTGCAAGAAGGTGTGGTGGGACTGACTTGGACACTGGACAGACAACAAACGGACGACTTTCTTCGATCCACCTAATAAATAAATAAATAAATAAAAGTGTTGCATTATTAAGTTGAAACATTGTCACAATCAAGGTGGAGGAGATAATGAGTTGGATCTAGGATGTTGGGCTTTAATGGTTTGGTCTTTGGGCTTAGGTTATGAGCCCAAATTGCCTTGGCGCTTGCCTTTTGCTCACTTCTATGGTTAAGATCGAAGGAAAATGAGCCCATATGTCCTTATTTATATTATTTCAAATTTAGCTAAATAGTAATTAACATCTGGTGTTATAAGTTTGAAGATTCCACCCCATCTGTATCTTGTGACTGCAGTGCTTTGTGGGTCCAGTGTCGATGGCATCCTTTAGAGTCTGGGGTTTTCAAGATGAATATCGATGCTTCGTTCATTTCCTCATCCCTGCAAGCAAGTTTATGTGTTATTGTTCGTGATGCAGAAGGTCACCTTCTCCTGGTGGCTTCCTTGTCATTCCCCATTGCGGGTCGGTGGACTTAGCTGAGGCTTTGGGTATTCGTGAGGGCCTATTGGTTGCTGTGGGGGCGGATTTCCACCATCTTCAGGTGGAAACTGTTAGAATCTATATAAACGAATTAAATTTATCAAACCCATCAACTTAAGCTTTTGGGTTGAGTGATTGTTTGTTCATTCTTAAGATGATATCAAAGTAGGAGGAAACTTTTAGGTTAAATGGTGGTTTATTCATTCACAGCAGAAGGTCCGCTCCTTTAAAAAAAAAAGAATGAAAAATGATCAACAGTCAAATAAATCCATGAAATGGATATCAGATTTGGTCAAACGGTGGTCTCCAGACTCTAGGGTTGAGATTTGGTCAATGGTGGTCTCCACGGTTGTGGAGGGAGATGGTAGAATGCGTTTGAAGAGTAGGAAGAAAAATAAAGAAGGAAGTGTTTTGCCTGCTTTTTTTTTTATAATATATTTTCTTTCAACGAAACAAAGGTGCATGATGTTACACATAGATTCAATCCAAATATAATTTTGTAGACAGACATTAATTATCATCTCAAGAGTTGATATTCGAACTACAACAATAAACCGTTAGATTTGATAATAAATGATTCTAAATGATCACTTAATTGATCAATTAAATATGACGTGACTTGATGACTTGTCAATTTTTTACTTTTAAATTACGTGGCAAATGAGCTGGAAAATTGAAAGATGTAAATTTAAGATGGTAAAAATTAAATTAGGAAAAACTGATCATCACTTTTCCTTCACGCATATTCTTGAACCACTTCATCTTCCTCTTTGCTTCTGAATTATTGAAGCATCTTCTTCGTTTCTTATTTTCGGCTGCTACTGACTTCCATTAATCCAACACTTAGGTTCTTGCGTCTGCAACTTTTGAAGGCTGAAGGTCGAGATTATATCTTCCGAGAAAAATTAAGCAGTATTTTATGCTCAATTTGCAAGAATATCCAAGAGAGTGTTATTTCATCCCCTGTCCTGGAAATGAATAAATGTCTGGTCCATCCCTTCAATGACCCCATATTTATACTCTTGGCTTCGTAAGTTAATGTAAAGAAATTATCTATCAATTTCCCCCTGATTTAGCCTACATCCACTATGTTATCCGAGGAAATGTTACAAGAGGTTAGTTACTGCTCTGTTCAAGACGTAACTCGTGGAAATAATGCTAAACCTATCTCTCTTCTCCCGATGGTACAAACGAAGCAATTTTGGGAAGAAGATTTGGAGTTGATTGCTTCGAGTGAAGAAAGTAAAAAAGCAGAAAAAGCCCTAAAATCCCAACCTTCAACGTTAAAAAATTGCAGAAACAAGAACCTAGGGCAAAATTGCAACATTTAATTTTAATGATAGAAGAAGAAGGTCTTGATAATTGAGGAAGGAGGTCTCGATAGAGTTTTTGGACATGGGGTTGAAATAGGAAGGAAGAAGATAATTCGATAATGCAGAAGCAAAGAGGGAACACGAAGTGGTTCAGGAACATGCGCGAATGAGAAGTAAAATTCGAAGGGTCACCTTTTTTCTAATTTAATTTTTAGGTGAAATGTTTTTTTCCTTAAATTTTTTGTATGCATGGTTTTTTATAAACTAAAAAGAGACCAAATGTGTTTATGAATTAGAAACATTAAATTGTTATACGACAAAATTTGACACTTAATTTTAATAAAAAAATTTACTATATGGATTAAATTGTTACAAATTTTAAACTACACGGACTAAATAGTTACAGGTTAAAATTAAGGACTAAATTGTTATTTTATGGAAAGTACATAGAATAAATCGTTACAAATTGAAACTCAGGGACTAAATTGTTACTACAATGACCAAATGTGTTTTTTAACCTATTTTTTACCATCTTAAATTTATATCTTTTAATTTTCCAACTCATCTGTCACGTAATTTTGAAAAAATTGACAAGTTATCAAGCCACGTCAGCATTTAATAGTCTAGTCAATAATCTGTAAGTCAACTAACAGTTAACTCAGTTCAAGGACTATTTAGAATCATTTTTGACCCAAAATGTCTATTTTAAAACTTCGAGGATCAAATGGACACTTAATCCAAACCTGAGAGATCAAAAATATATTTTTTCTTAAACTTTATTATAAAATCTATCTACTCTATCATTTTTTTAAGTAAGTGTCAACACCTTCCGCTCTTTCATAAGATTGCATGCTTCACTCTCCCTCATGCACTACAAGGAGGTGTAACCAGCGAGGACAAAATAAAGATTTAACCCCAAACTATATGAATTAAAAATATATTTTACTTTTAGATTAATAGGTAGAACATACGAAAATACGAAGTCAAAAAAAAAAAAAAGAACATACGAAAATACAATAACAAAATCTATCACTTTAAAGCTAAAAAGTTTTCAAAAAATTAGTGTGCTTATTTTTAAAGAAAAACAAAAGGGGGTCTCTTAGTGGATAAAGCATCAATCAATAATTTGGTCTCTAAGATAGAGATCTATAATTTACATTATTACGAATAGAAATTATAAAACATAAATATTTGTTTTTATAATATTAATTATTTTGTACGTTAAATATAAATATTTAATATATGCAATAATTCATGATTCTAACCGACTATAAGTGATGAAAATTTGAATATTAGGCGAAAAACAAAAATTAGGCATACCAATTAGGTTAAAAGTTGATTTCAAAAAGAAAAAATTAGGTTAAAAGTGTAACATGTACCAACATAAAGAAAAAATGTGTAAATGATGTCTACGTCTTTTCCTTGTCATTACCTACTTTTCTTTAAAAAAAAATTATTGTAATCTAAAATTTAACAGCCATCTTATTTTATTTAAATATTCTATTATCTTTTATCAAATTTCTCCAATTATACACCTATAGTAATATCTAATTAAACATGAACTGGTAAAAGAAAAAGAGAGAAGATTTTACGCTATTTAAATTKTAACATAATATTAATGAAGATTTTACTTAGACGCCCTCGTAAATATCATAAAATTCCATGTATGTGCAATTAACTTAGGTTTGACTTGTATTTTTAACCAACTTAAAATTCTACCTTTAAGATTAACTTGAACAAAGTTCAATTGGTTAAGGTATCTGTTTCAGACAAAAAATTTTGAGTTTGACTCCTCACCCCAATATTTTTATTAGAGATAAGTGCATTAACTAATTAAACTATGTTCAAGTTGACGACCTAAGCCTATTTAAAGTGACACATTTTTTCGTTCTTGGATAATAGATTTGAATTTTCCCCACCACCTTTGTAATATGGGAAAACTTTATTGAATTGTAGATTTGAATCTCCAACTTTTTGATCAGAAGATATAAGCCTTGACTAGTTGAATTATATAAAATTTTAATGTGATTTATTTGAATTTCAGAACATAAATATCATTACAATTTTAATAAAGACAGTGAAACAAATAAAACAAGAACTATTATTACTAAGAACAAACGTTGAAGATTTAAAATTTCATAAGCACAATTAAGTCTGGAAATATTTTCATATAAAAGTATACTATTCTTTTAGAGATTGAAATGAAAAATTGAATATATCAATTACCATTCAGTTAGTTTTGCCATATAAAATATACTATCGAGGATGTAAAAGTAGAAG